TAGACTCACAGCTATATAAGACTCACAGCTATATAAGACGCACAGCTATATAAGACGCACAGCTATATAAGACTCACGGCTATATAAGACACGGCTATATAAGACTCACGGCTATATAAGACGCACGGCTATATAAGACTCACGGCTATATAAGATGCACGGCTATATAAGACATGGTTATATAAGACTCACGGCTATATACGATGCACAGCTATATAAGACATGGTTATATAAGACTCGCAGCTATATAAGGCTCACGGCTATATAAGACTCACAGCTATATACGACTCACGGCTATATAAGACTCGCCCACCATTTCAGCATGGAATATTTAGGTAAAAACTTTGGTATGTATTTTCCTCCTGTAGCCATAGTTTTCTTAAAACAATATATACAGAAAATCAGTTATGTTATTACTGCACTTAACAACTAAGGTCTTTAAGTGTATAACAAGGTTATTAAAAGAATATTACACCAATAAGAACAAAAATATGAAAACTCTTGGGGGTTGAAAATCAGACATATAAGTCTGGTTGTCACCGAGATGATTGATATTTACTGTAAAGTGTTATATGCAAGTAACCACAGAATTTGTCTTATGAATAAAGAGAAAACTGTTTACTGTACAGAACTATAAAGATAAAAATAAGAAGAAATAAGTACTGTATAGGAATACTGTACGTACTGTACAGTGATCCCTCGGTTAATGAGATTTCGGTTAACGATTTACCTTCCTTAAGATTCTTCACTTCTGTTAACGAGCAATCCCTCGATTAATGAGTTTTTTACGAGCCGACCTCAACATGTTTTCGCTTGCATTTGGCGGTCCAATACAGTAATCGGTTTTAGGGCTTAAATTCCTTATTATTTTAGTAAATATCAAGAAGTTTATACTATTCAATAATTTTAAAAGTTTAATATTAAATTTTTTAGTCATTTTAACAATTATTGAACATAATTGAAGGTAAGGAAACTAGTTTAATGTGCGCCACCCAGCCTGGCAACAGACCAAACAGGCGCCAGTCTCTCTATCTCTTCAGTGGAGGTAACATCCTGCTTGAGACTTCAACTAAACGCTTTTTTTCTGTGTTTGCGAGCAAATTATTGGTCATTTTGAAATTTATTTTACATATTGACAATATATAATGCAGTGCAGTGTTGATTTAAAGAAAATAATCTTGAATTACACCAAGAGAACTAAAATTTTATGGGTGAAATGGCGCCATGGGGTGACTTCTCTTCCACCCCAATGCCTTCTCTTCTCCCTTCTCCTCCACCCCCATTTTAATTCCAATCATCATCATCATCCAGGAGCCTTCTATATACACACCTCAAAGTAAGTGTTCTTTTCTACCTTTTTTGTTGAATTTAGGCAATTTTCGGTGAGCTGGAACCAATTACCCAAAAACCCATTGCAACAATGGTTTCGGTTAACGAGCAACCTGCTGGAACGGATTGTGCTCGTTAACCGAGGGACCACTGTATACAGCTCCTCCCCGACTAACGACCTACTCGACTCACGACCACTCGCACTTGCGACCTACCTCAGTCGTACCAAAATTTTGTCAAATTACGTATTTTCGAGTTCCAACATCAGTACACAGACAAAATTTTCGTTTGTAATTCACTCTAAAATGGCTGGCAAGCTTAAAAGTTAGTTGCGACCTGGATTTGGGTCCCTAACCTCGCCCTAAGTCGGGGAGGAGCTGTATTGTATGTGAAGACGAATTTTTATATGGGAGCAGCTGGCAGAGGGGAGGGCAGGTGTGTGGCTCCCTCCCCCTATCTCCCACAAGATTCCTTTAACACTTCTTTATACAATTCCACCACAATTATCAGATAATTTAGGATCATTTGGTGGCTGGTTGATAAAACATTATCCTAAAAGAATCAACTTTCCTGAAAAAATCCCTCACAGAAAACCAGGAGTCATTGTTTACAAAGAGCAAACAGCTGATTGGCTTACCACAATGTTTGTCTTCAACACTTAGTAAATTAATACAGTACAGTTGTGTATTTATCACCACTTAATAATTACTATTGTAGTGTATTTATCACCACTTAATAAAAATTATTGTAGTGTATTTATCACCACTTAATGAAAAATTATTGTAGTGTATTTATCACCACTTAATAAATACTATTGTAGTGTATTTATCACCACTTAATAAAAATTATTGTAGTGTATTTATCACCACTTAATGAAAAATTATTGTAGTGTATTTATCACCACTTAATAAATACTATTGTAGTGTATTTATCACCACTTAATAAAAATTATTGTAGTGTATTTATCACCACTTAATGAAAAATTATTGTAGTGTATTTATCACCACTTAATAAATACTATTGTAGTGTATTTTTCACCACTTAATAAATACTACTGTAGTGTATTTATCACCACTTTATAAATACTATTGTAGTGTATTTTTCACCACTTAATAAATACTACTGTAGTGTATTTATCACCACTTTATAAAAACTATTGTAGTGTATTTAGCATCAATAAGTAATATTGTAGTGTACAGTATTATGTACCTTCATATACTCTGGTTTATTCATTAATCATTAGTCTAGGTGTACAAGTAGCCAAACTGAATCGTATAACTCTCAAAGGTAGTAAATAACATTTTAAGAGGGTATCTTCATGTCAAATACTCTCACTTTTAAGCTTGACAGCCATTTTAAAGTGAATTACAAACAAAAATTTTGTCAGTACACAGCGCAATCACTAACGTTGGGACTCGAAAATACGTAATTTGACAAAATTTTGGTACGACTAAGGCGGTCCTATATCTGGGTGGTCGTAGGTATAGTTTGTCGTAAGTCTAGGAGTAGTAGTGCTGTATTTAGTTTATATTTAATGTTTTGTTAATTCTATTACCTGTATACAGTACTTTGTATGTTCTTTTTCTGAGAGTTGGAACCAATTACCCAATATCCCATTGAAATAATAGATTCAGTTAACGAAATTTTCGGCTAACGAACGACTCTGTGGAACCAATTGTGTCCGTTAATCGAGGGACCGCTGTACTTGGAATTTTTTTAATTTACATCTTGAAAACCTGGATAATCAAGGATTTTTTTTTCTCTGGCCAGTAGACACCCTGGATATGTTAAGTATCATTTTTATTGTTTATCTAAACCATTTTTGTTCATTTATGATGTATGCAATTTGATTGAATTAGACTCACCTTGTGCTCATTAAATCATTTAACTCTGAACCACATCGTTTACTGTATATAATAAACCAATTGTTTAATTTTGAAACCATTTATAACTAACTGGTTTATTAGGGAGCACAGTGTGTACTGCCCTGCTGGGTGAACCTGTTGTTCGCCCTTTGCTGTTATCCCTTGTTTAGTGATAATTTTTACTAACATTAGGTATTTGAGGAACACAACCTGTACTGGTGTTTTGTGTGTGGGTGAGGTGTATCTTCAGTTATTTATAGGAACTCTCTTATATTATTTCACTAATATGTTCTACTTTACTTCCACAGATATGGAGTGAAAAAACAAATGGCAGTGGGAAGACAAGCAGTAAATTGTGACAACACTGATTGCCATGGAAAGCTGCTAGTTTATTGTGCACCCCATAGTCATCCTTTAAATGGTAGTGCAAAAAATATTGCAGAGTAGAGGTCACAGAGGTGTTTATCAGACCCCAGTGATCAGGTTATTGTGGTGTTGAGCGTTAAAATTTTTTCCAAAACATTATTTGTTAAGTTCAGTGTATTAGAACTTCACTGTTTCCACTTGTCTGCTTGCTTCAAATTCATCATAAAGTTCTTGCCTGGTTACAGTTGTTAGGGTTCTGTTTGACAATCCTAGATTGTATTCAACAATGACTTTGTTGGTCACGAATTTAGGAAAGGCAGAACATTATGTTTGGTGCAGGTGTAAACAACAGTGGACATAGACAAAGTATTACCAACTGAACGAAACAATTCTAAGTTGACAAGAAATTATTCTTTGATGTGGAAATATGTTGTAAAGATTTCTCCCCTCATGAAACTTTTGTCACATGTAGTAAAAGTTTACCAGCCGTCACAAGTACCCTAGTATATCAGCCTGGGTATTATTGTTTACCAGCCATCACAAGTACACTAGTATATCAGCCTGAGTATTATTGTTTACCAGCCATCACAAGTACAGTAGTATATCAGCCTGAGTATTATTGTTTACCAGCCATCACAAGTACACTAGTATATCAGCCTGAGTATTATTGTTTACCAGCCGTCACAAGTACACTAGTATATCAGCCTGAGTATTATTGTTTACCAGCCACAAGTACACTAGTATATCAGCCTGAGTATTATTGTTTACCAGCCATCACAAGTACCCTAGTATATCAGCCTGAGTATTATTGTTTACCAGCCATCACAAGTACACTAGTATATCAGCCTGGGTATTATTGTTTACCAGCCGTCACAAGTACACTAGTATATCAGCCTGAGTATTATTGTTTACCAGCCGTCACAAGTACACTAGTATATCAGCCTGAGTATTATTGTTTACCAGCCGTCACAAGTACCCTAGTATATCAGCCTGAGTATTATTGTTTACCAGCTGTCACAAGTACAGTAGTATATCAGCCTAAGTATTATTGTTTACCAGCCATCACAAGTACACTAGTATATCAGCCTGAGTATTATTGTTTACCAGCTGTCACAAGTACACTAGTATATCAGCCTGAGTATTATTGTTTACCAGCCGTCACAAGTACCCTAGTATATCAGCCTGAGTATTATTGTTTACCAGCCGTCACAAGTACCCTAGTATATCAGCCTGAGTATTATTGTTTACCAGCCATCACAAGTACAGTAGTATATCAGCCTGGGTATTATTGTTTACCAGCCGTCACAAGTACACTAGTATATCAGCCTGAGTATTATTGTTTACCAGCCGTCACAAGTACACTAGTATATCAGCCTGAGTATTATTGTTTACCAGCTGTCACAAGTACACTAGTATATCAGCCTGAGTATTATTGTTTACCAGCCGTCACAAGTACCCTAGTATATCAGCCTGAGTATTATTGTTTACCAGCCATCACAAGTACAGTAGTATATCAGCCTGAGTATTATTGTTTACCAGCCATCTCTGTACTATGTCAGCCTGAGTGTTATTGTTTGCTGTACACCAGAGGAACTGCACATACAACAATAGTGTACAGTATAATTTTTGTACACTTCTCTGTTGAGTGTTTTTATAGTGGATGTTGTAAGTCATAAACAGTGTTTGTTAATGACAAGTATAGTTGTATGTGTAACTCATTCTTTACACCAATTTTTACATTTAGTTCAAAGAGGTATAGAGGAACCTTGTTAATAATGGTGTAGTCACTTGACAAACTGGATCTTCCATCACACTTACCTCCTCACTGTCCTCCCATCTCAACATCATGTCAGTAAATCACATTCACTAATTGATGTATATTTCAGTTTTCAATGTCAAATATAATTAACAGTAACAAGACATTAATAGTTCTTGTAGGAGGAAACAGTTTGCCAGTTAAGTGTCACTAAAACCTTTGAACAAACAATACACACATTTTTATAATGGAAGGTCTCTCAGAGGAACAGGCAGAGTCTCTCAGAGAATTGTCTGTAAAATCACATCAAGTAACACATGTGAAAGATGACTCACACCAGAATCTGTTTGTGTGTTCAGAATGTCTTAAAGGATTTTGTAGTAAACAGGGGTTATTGACACACATGGTAATTCATACTAGAGAGAAACGATTTCAGTGTTCAGAATGCCTTAAACGATTTAGACGTAAACAGCCTTTACTGGAACATATGAAAATTCATACAGGAGAGAAGCCATTTCAGTGTTCAGAATGTCTTAAAGGATTTAGAAGTAAACAGACTTTAGTGGAACATATGAGAATTCATACAGGAGATAAACCATTTCAGTGTTCAGAATGTCCTAAAGGATTTAGAAGTAAAAAAGATTTATTGAGACATATGAGAATTCATATAGGAGAGAAACCATTTCAGTGTTCAGAATGTCTTAGAGGATTTAGACGTAAACAGCATTTAGTGGAACATATGAGAATTCATACAGGAGAGAAACCATTTCAGTGTTCAGAATGTCTTAAAGGATTTAGAAGTAAACAGACTTTAGTGGAACATATGAGAATTCATACAGTAGAGAAACCATTTCAGTGTTCAGAATGTCCTAAAGGATTTAGAAGTAAAAAAGTTTTATTGAGACATATGAGAATTCATACTAGAGAGAAACCATTTCAGTGTTCAGAATGTCCTAAAGGATTTAGAAGTAAACAAGATTTATTGAGACATGTGAGAATTCATACAGGAGAGAAACCATTTCAGTGTTCAGAATGTCTTAGAGGATTTAGACGTAAACAGACTTTAGTGGAACATATGAGAATTCATACAGGAGAGCAACCATTTCAGTGTTCAGAATGTCTTAAAGGATTTAGACGTAAACACCATTTATTGATACATATGAGAATTCATATAGGAGAGAAACCATTTCGGTGTTCAGAATGTCTTAGAGGATTTAGAAGTAAACAAGATTTATTGAGACATATGAGAATTCATACAGGAGAGAAACCATTTCAGTGTTCAGAATGTCCTAAAGGATTTAGAAGTAAACAAGATTTATTGAGACATATGAGAATTCATACAGGAGAGAAACCATTTCAGTGTTCAGAATGTCTTAAAGGATTTAGACGTAAACAGCATTTATTGAGACACATGAGAATTCATACAGGAGAGAAACCATTTCAGTGTTCAGAATGTCATCAAGGTTTTTCTAAAAGTTATCTTCTAGTAAGACACAAGAAAGATCACCCAGAAAAACCTTTCCAATGTGTAAGTTGCATGAAAGACTTTAATGAGAATGAGAGTTTAATATTACATGCACAGAGATGTCACCAGACTGACCAAGTGGTCAACTCTCATCATTATGAAGATGAAAGTTGCCAGGACATGAGCTTGTCTTGCCAACCAACAGTGGAGATGTGTGTCTCTGAAGGAGTGAAAAAGGAAACTAATTATGATACACTCTCAGTCATTTGTAAGACAGAAGCTTCACCAGAGCCGGAGATAATTGATCAATCTTTAAAGATGGAGTGCCAGGAAGAACTAGATTTTGTTAAGGAAGAATTCTGAAACTGTTTTTGTGGAATATTTGTGGTTTTGATAAAGAGTAAAGTTTATATAATGCACAGGTAGGGACTGAAGGTTTGTGGCCAGTGTAATCAATAGTAACACATGTACTGTATTGGTAAGTAATTAATGTATCACCTTATATAACTATCAGTAATGTGAGGGTAGAGGTACTGTATACAACACACTACAGGTATACCTGACATACATGGTAGAGGTGTACAACACACTACAGGTATACCTGACATACATGGTAGAGGTATACAACACAGTACAGGTATAGCCGACATACATGGTAGAGGTATACAACACTACAGGTATACCTGACATACATGGTAGAGGTATACAACACACTACAGGTATACCTGACATACATGGTAGAGGTGTACAACACACTACAGGTATACCTGACATACATGGTAGAGGTATACAACACACTACAGGTATACCTGACATACATGGTAGAGGTATACAACACACTACAGGTATACCAGACATACATGGTAGAGGTATACAACACATTACAGGTATACCTGACATACATGGTAGAGGTATACAACACACTACAGGTATACCTGACATACATGGTAGAGGTATACAACACATTACAGGTATACCTGACATACATGGTAGAGGTGTACAACACACTACAGGTATACCTGACATACATGGTAGAGGTATACAACACAGTACAGGTATACCTGACATACATGGTAGAGGTATACAACACTACAGGTATACCTGACATACATGGTAGAGGTATACAACACACTACAGGTATACCTGACATACATGGTAGAGGTATACAACACACTACAGGTATACCTGACATACATGGTAGAGGTATACAACACACTACAGTATACCAGACATACATGGTAGAGGTATACAACACACTACAGGTATACCTGACATACATGGTAGAGGTATACAACACTACAAGTGAATGACATACATGGTGAGGGTATGCAACACTACAGGTATACTTGACATACATGGTAGAGGTATACAACACACTACAGGTATACCTGACATACATGGTAGAGGTATACAACACACTACAGGTATACCTGACATACATGGTAGAGGTATACAACACTACAGGTAGACCTGACATACATGGTAGAGGTATACAACACTACAGGTATACCAGACATACATGGTAGAGGTATACAACACTACAGGTAGACCTGACATACATGGTAGAGGTATACAACACTACAGGTATACCAGACATACATGGTAGAGGTATACAACACTACAGGTATACCTGACATACATGGTAGAGGTATACAACACATTACAGGTATACCTGACATACATGGTAGAGGTATACAACACACTACAGGTATACTTGACATACATGGTAGAGGTATACAACACACTACAGGTATACCTCACTGTAAATGCATCATGAATGCATCATAAGTACAGTGTTAAGTGAAACAATGTATAGTGCACATAATTGTACCATAGACTTATTGAAGATAAGCTCAAACCCTCTAGAGGTCAAGTGTTTCTCTCAGCTGAATAAAATCATTTGGTCTTAACCAGGAAAAAATACCCAAGTGTGCTGCTGACCTCTGAAGGGGTAATGGTGTAAATAGAGGTTATACCTGTGTTTCTGGTCAATGTTTTATATTGTTGTAAGGATGAGACATATGTCAGTATAACAACACTTACCCGAGATAAATATGTACAATTATTATAACTTGGTCAGTAAGAGGGTTTGTTATTATGTATTTAGAAATTTATTTATGGTATAAGGAGCAATGGTATTACCCAGCATGCACTGTGACGGAGGTGAGGTGGCGCGGGGGAGAACGTGCTGGACAGGTGTGCCGTGAGGTCCTACAAGTGGACAAAATATTGAAGATTTTAGTAATAAGATGGCCCAGAGTGGCATCAGAGTATATGTTGACATTCATAGGTAGAACTACACTGTACATACCTGCACCTATTAAAAAGAACAAAACCTATGAGATCTATATTCTCTCTCCCCAACACTAACTGCCTATAATAACGTGACACCATCATTCAGTGACCCAATGTACATACAGTGCAGCTTGGTGCTGGGAAGTGGCAGCGTGGTTACAAGCGTGATGAAGAGAGAGCTCTTGGTGAGGAGCTTGCTCAGAGGAGGTGTTGCTTGCTGCATGGCTGTAGGTAAAAGGGGCAGGTCAAGACGAGGTGAGGTCTTGTATAGCGGAGGTAGGCGTGGCTTGATAGTTGACCTCCGCTTTGTCAGACGTCGCTAGTAGCCGACCTTAGACCACGAGGCATTGGCTGGGGAATTTGAAAAGGGGTCGGCTAGTCAGCGACAAACGGCAGTTGTAGTTGTGGTTGTAAGGGAAATATCCACTACAGTACTACCAACTTGGTACTATTATTAAATATAAATGATTGGTAGAAACAGCCAGAGAACACGTAGCGGAGTGTGTGTGGCCAGTAGTCAAATTTCTTTGTTAGGCTCACATACACATGTACATAGTGGAGATCTCGCACTCAGGATGGAGGTGAGAAAGGAAACTCACGATAACATTCTCTTTACATATATTGTATGTACAGTGCAGTAAGAGGCAGGGGAGTTGCTGTGTTCTTTTATCCTCTTCACCTCTGATCGGTTCGTTAGCCGCTTGGGCGATCGGTCACGTTTCTGATTACTTTTCCTTTTTGGGAGCTTCTTAGGAGGTGGTCTTGTCAGCTTGATAGCATAGTGTAGTCTGTTCTCACGGTTGGTTGGTGATATGGAGAGAAGAGAGCATTAGTTCCGAGGTTGCAAGAAGGGTACAGTACAAGGTAAAGTTCAGAAGTGGGAAATATAGGAGGCGGTTAACAGCAGGTGGGCTATCCACCTTGGCAGGGGGGGGTATTTATATGATTCTGCCACTTTATGGAACTCGCCGCTGGTTGGCTGAGGAGAGGACAGCAAGTGACCAATCAGCAGTTGTAGGGGAGAGTATGTAGTGGAAATTTCCCCTACAACTACAACTGCCATTTGTTGCTGACTAGCCGATCCCTTTTCGAGTTTCCCAACCAACGCCTTGTGGTCTAAAATGACGTCTGATAAGCGGAAGAGTCAGCACCTACAACCGCAACAACAACACCCTTCTCTCTACTCCACGTTGGTCTCACGCAGCAGCTTCCCAGCACCAAGCTGCACTGCACATCCAATACAATATGCATACAGAGAGCGCATTGTGAGTTCTCCAACCCATCCTGAGTGTGAGCCAACATCACGAATCCCCACAAGTATCCACTACAAACGTTTACTGTAGAGTGAAGGACTGTGGTCGCCAGCCATCAGATCTGAGGACATAATTCTGACTGTTTATGAAGGAAACATTAGCATTGGAATACTAAACTAAGATGTAAATGAGTGTTGTATTAATAGTCATTTTATTATTTATATTATGTGCTCTATTTATTAACATCTTTTTGTTGTATTAGAATATTGAAAACGATCGTACTTTTGTTATTATTAACAATATCATTATTATAATCAAGTAGTCACTAAGAATAATACTTTCGGGTGTAGACCCTTAATTTACATATGACTTTTACTTTACCTTTATCCTCTTCACCACTGACATCCCAGGAATGTTTAAAAATAGACAATTTTGACTGATTTATTAATTTGTATTGGGAATTAATCACATGTACAAGTACAATAAAAATACATTATGGATACTAGAGTTGAGCATTTGGAGGCTGTATTAATACATTATACTTGGGATCAAGAGAAATAATATTTGTAGTACAATACCTTACAGTAAAGTACACATCAGGGTATGAACTACAGATACTGTATAAGTTTATTATATAGTACATAATAAAATAGAGCTAGTACGAGCTCAGATACAAGTTTATTATATAATTGTTACGAGTTGGGGATTTAGAATATAGTTAAAAATCTACCCAGATCCCAACAGGCAACAACAATAAAAAAACAAAGACAATCGGACTATAAAAGGGTAGACAAAGGATGATAGTTTTTGTTGTGTATAATAAAGTACCATAAATTCCTTAACAAAATATTCAGCTTTCTATAATTTACCCTTAACCATACTTAACCTAAACATTAACAGTATACAGTATACATATTTATACAACATACAATAATTTGAAGCAAGGTGGAGGAGGGGAGGCAATATAAGATAACAAATACTTAGGTGCGGAGCTGAGATGGCTGACGAGCAAGGCTGAGTATTGTAGAAGACGGTAGGTAGTCACTGTGCCGTAGGTTTCCAGGATACGTGATCCTGTGGTCACTTCCCAGAGTGAACTGCCCTCTCATCGAACTGGAGCTGATGAAGAAGACTTGTAGGAGGTGACGCAACAACCAGGATATGGAGAAGGGAAACCCCGGAGTGGTAACTAAGACTAGTCATACTCGTGTTTCGTCCCTAGATGGCGTTGCGCGTGGTGCTGGGTAGGTAGATCAGGACAATAGATGGCGTGGTTAGTAGTGCTGGGTAGGTAGATCATGACAATTGGTGGCGTGGTTCGTAACACACCCCCCCTCCAAAGACCTCCGTAGCGCGGGCGCGAAGGAGGTGATCACCTGGTGCGTCTGGAGAGTAGCTGCTGCATTTCCACTGGAGCTCGGGATAAGGAGTCCGCAATCAGGTTGTCCACCCCCTTTATGTGCCGGACTTGTAGATTATAGGGCTGGGTGATGAGAGCCCAGCGGAGGATTCGCTGGTTGGAGGTCTTGTTGGTTTGGATGAACGTGAGTGGGTTATGGTCGGTGAAGACTAGGGTTGTTTGTGGGCAAGACTGGAGGTAACATTCAAACTTCTTTATTGCCAACACCAGAGCCAGGGCCTCCTTCTCTATGGTCGAGTAGTTGGTCTGATGTTTTTTCAACTTGGCGGAGTAGTATGCCACAGGGTGAAGGACATCAGTGGTTGGGTCGGGTTGTAGGAGCACAGCCCCCACTCCGACACCGCTAGCAAGGTGGAGGTGGGGAGGCAATATAAGATTACAAATACTTAAGTGCGGAGCTGAGATGGCTGACGAGTAAGGCTGAGTATTGTAGAAGACGGTAGGTAGTCACTGTGCCGTAGGTTTCCAGGATAGGTGGTCCTGTGGTCACTTCCCAGAGTGAACTGCCCTCTCATCGAACTGGAGCTGATGAAGAAGACTTGTAGGAGGTGACGCAACAACCAGGATATGGAGAAGGGAAACCCCGGAGTGGTAACTAAGACTAGTCATACTCGTGTTTCGTCCCAAGATGGCGTTGCTCGTGGTGCTGGGTAGGTAGATCAGGACAATAGATG